TGCAGAACCTGCAGGTGACGGGAGGTCGGCCCGGCGGGTCTGGGGACAGCACTGCCCGGCCTAGACAGCTCCATCTCGCAACCCCATCCAGACTGGGGCAGCCAGCACAGCACTGCCCAGCACCCCCCCAGCTACATCCCTCTCCCCCGTGCCCGGGGGAGGGGTTCTGGCTGGGCCCCCCCCACCCTTCCTCTTTCAGCAGAGCTGAATCATTTCCCCAGCCCCCGCCAGCAAGGGGACCCCGTCCTGTGTGTCCTGAGGTGCTGCTGGCCGACAGGAGCTGGCCCCCGCTCTTTAGGGGCTGCTGTGGAACCAGATCCCGGGCCCCACTGCCAGGCAGTTGCCCCCAGCTCCTGCGCCCCCCCCACTGCACTGAAAAGATTACAATGCCTCTCTGCAAATCCCGCTTTCCCTGGAGCCTGCGTCCTCCTGCTGGACGTGCAGCCGCAGCAGCGCGGTGCCATGTAACCCCGCAGTCCCTGTGCTCACTGCCGGGGCCCCGTCCTGGGCAGAGGACACTCGCAGCCCACGGGAAGGAGGGCCACAGAAGCTCTCGCCGGCGGGCCCGGCCCCCGGGGGCTTCGCCGCGGAGCACTCAGCAGGCTCACAGGGCAGGGCAGGCGAGGAGGGATGCCTCTAGGCCAGGAGGCAGATGGCGGCTCTCTCAGTCCATCTGTCCGGGCTCCAAGAGCTGTCTGCCTGTGCCCGTCAGGGCCTGCTGCGGCCTGGGATGCTGAGACGAGCTCTGCTCGCAGCACAGATGGGGCGGAGAATATATTCAAGCATCTTCCTGCTCAGCCACTGGGTGCTGGTGGAGAGAGAGCGACGTGCTCTTCTCCTAGGCCTGCCGCGAGGCTGGGCAGACGCCAGAGGCTCAGGTCTCAGAGCAGAGTTAGTGGGGCCTGTGGACGGCGCTGGCAGTGCGTTTGCAGAGGCTGGTGGGCTGGAGGTCAGAGCGGTGGTCCAGAGAGGCAGGCACCCAGCACTGAGGCGAGAGGGGGTCGGGCCCAGGTGTGACAGCGTGTCGGGGTTCCCCCGATCCTGCAGCCCCGTAGCAGCAAGAACAGACTCCGCCAGCCAGTAGAATAGAGGGCGTTTATTGCTCCTCCAGGATACAGCACAGCACAGACGTGATGTGGTTACAGGAGTCAGGGCCAGGCAGCCTCAGACCCCTTGGGGTAGGGGATCCATCACCCCCCTCAACCCTCAGCACCCAGCTTAGTCTGTTCCCTTCATGTTTCCCAGCCAGAAACTGCCCAACTCCCAGACCCTGCCCCCCAGCCAGGTGGCCGTCTCCGCCTCCCTTCCTTTGTCTCTCCCCCTGGGAAGAGCAGTGTTATCTGCTCATACTGGGACTCACATGTGGGTGAGTCAGTGGCAATCGCAGGGGAAGCCCGGGGTACAGAGTGGCCAGCCCCCCTCTTAGGGAAGCCTGGGGTACAGAGTGGCCAGCCCCCCTCTTACGTCACACCAGGTACTAACAGGGGAACTGGGTGCAATTCAGCAGTGGGATCAATAAAGGGCCGCCATTTCCACACACCAGGTGTGCATGAGTGAGAAGGGCCGTGGCGGGGGTATGTGATGTGTTGGGGTGAGTACATGGGCATCTGGGCTGGCATATGAGAGAACCTGGGTGCGTGTGTCAGTGGAAGGGTGCACGTGTGTGCACAGGCAAGTGTGTGAGCACCAGTGTTCCCTCTGAGCTGGGCGCTTGTGCAGCTGCTCAGGAGATTCCAACGTCACCCCGCTGATTAGCAGAGCACCCACAGCTAGGGTTGGGGTTTTTTTGTATCTACAGGTGGTGCACGTTCGCAGCGCACATGCAAATTTATTCTGCACAGGGATGTCAAAATTCTGTGCATGGAAAAGATTAGAGGGAACATTGGTGTGCACTGGTGTTCAGATGCAGGGCAGCTGCTCTTTGTGTATTGTCTGTGGCAGGTGTGCACTGTTAAGGAGGGGAAGCTGCTGTGTGTTGATGCGTGTAAGGTGCTGGGGTAGCTGCTGTGTGTGTGTTGTTTGGGATGTGCACAGTTAAGGTGTGGGGGGAACTGCTGTGTGTGTATTGGACATGGGGTGTGCGTGGTTAAGGCGTGTGGGTAGCTGCTGCGTTTGTTGGGGTGTGCACTGTCAAGGTGCAGGGGAGCTGCTATGTGTGTGCTGGCTGTGAGGTGTGTGCGGTTAAGGTGCAGGGATAGCTGCTGTGTGTATTGGCCACGGGGTGTGTGTTGTTAAAGTGCGGGGGGTAGCTCCTGTGTATGTATTTTATTGGCCATGTGGTGAGTGTGGATAAGGTGCGGGGGTAGCTGCTCTGTGTGTGTGTGTGTGTGTGTGTGTGTGTGTGTGTGTGTGTGTGTGTGTGTGTGTGTGTGTGTGTGGGGGGG